TCCTCTACCCAACCTTTATCCCTTCCTTCTCTCCTTTCACAGACGTCAGACGTGTACCAGAATCTGAAGGCTTTTCCTGATTTACTCCTTCTCTTTATCTCTGCAGACATTTCTCCCAGTAAATCACTTGCACATCTAATTTTTGGCATTTACTTCTCAGAGGAATAAAACTGAGACATTAGATATGCTGCCTATGGAAGTTCTAATCCTTGTGATTCAAACTAAGCACTCAAAAATATTTTTTTAGGGACACCTGAATGGCTTAGTGGTTGAGCATCTGCCTTTGGCTCTGGGCATGATCCCGGGGTCTGGGATTTTTCCCTGTCAGGTTCCTTGCAGGGAGCCTGCTTCTCCCTCTGCCTAAGTCTGCCTATGGCTCTGTCTCTCTGTGTGTCTCTCATGAATAAATAAATTAAAAAATATATTTTTAAGTCCTTAGTAGCCAGTATGTTTTAATATGTTACAGAAATTGCTTATGTCTTGAGCCATTTTCTGATACCTCCTACGCACAAAGCTATGAATATTTTGCATGTATATAAGGTCTGAATATATAAAACATATACTGTATTTTTTAATTTGAAATAATAAATATTTATTTATATTATTTACAAGTCCATAATCTATTATAGAAGTAATATTCAAATATAATAAATTTTATGATATATCATTTTCTGCTTATAGATATTTTACTTTTAAGTAAGGCATAGTCTTTCTGGAATCCGTTTCTGATCGTTCAAAAGTTGAATAATAAATAGCTGAAATAGAAAAAATCTTTTACATAGTTTTCACTTCTGTCACTGTCACTGAATAAGAGAGAAAAGATAATGTTTTTCATTTAGATACAATCATCCTCAAAGGCAAATACATGTAGGCATTATTGCAGGTATAGGGAGTGGGATGGTTGATCTACTTCTTCTTAGCTGATAACTGCAGTAATCTGTGGCAATGAATTGAACAGAGAACATGTCAAAATAGAATAATTATAGCTAAGTTTATGCTGGTATGTAGCGCACAAAATAAAGGGAGCGTTAGTAATGCTGACCTTATCACCTTTGCATTTGTCTAACAAGAATGAAATATTTTAAGTCACTGCTATATCAGTTTTGGTTTTATATATTTTTTAGATCATATTTTCTTTAGGGATTTGTTTTGAATGCATATAGAAGATACATATTTCAGACATCTGGTTAAAGGAAGATGCGAGAACTGTTTGTATTCAGGCTAATGCTAGTATCAGGCTCAGGGCTGACTTCTTTAGGAAAATATGCTGTGTATGTTTGGGTTGCTTTTCTGATGTATATCCTCTTGACAAGGACTGTAGACCTTGGTAAGTATCTGTGAACACTGAAAAATACCATGTGATCTTTCTCTTTGTGGCCGAAGTCACATCCCTAATCCTATTTTCTCTTCTCTCTAGTTTGTTTTGGAACTTCAACTGCCTACTGGAGAGTCTACTTAAGAGAGCCCAGTTACTCCAAATTTATTGTATTCTGGAGTAAAGAACGTGGCCTTTGTCCTGGTTCTTCAGAGGAATCCTCTAAATCCTTGAATTTCCAAAATGATAGGACTGTCTTTGTTATTTTTGGAGGCGTTTTGAGCCACAACTGAATTTCTGCTAATAAGATAACTCCTGGAGTGCCTTTATATAGTTTATGTTAACCAGATGAGCCAGGAAGGGGGCTGGCCATTCAGGAAAGACCAATCATGTAGACAAGTTTGGGGCTTTGAGTCCTGTAATATCAGCCTGATCTCTGGGGAGGAGATGGGGTTAGAGATTAAGTTCAATTTTATAGACAGTGGTTTAGTCAGTCATACCTATGTGATGATGAAACTCCAATAATAAAATCATGTACAATGATTTTCTGAGCGGCCGACATTCATCAATATCCTGAGAGGGTGATACGTCTTGAGGACACAGAAAGTTTCACGATTGGGAAGTTCCCATATTTTCCTGTATGTTTCTTCATTTTGTTTGTTCTGATTTTTATGCTTAACTTTAGTGTTTTCTTGAAATCTGTGATTCATTCTAGTGAATTATCAAGCCTGGAGAGATAGTGGGCACCTTCAAATTTGTAGCCCCTTGGTCCCACATATGGGTGGTCTGGGAACCCAAGAGCTCAAGGCTAGAGGGAAAGTGGTCTTGTAGGGGACTGTGCCCTTAACCTGTGAAGTTTGAATGAATTTGGATTGTTAACATCAGAACTGCATTGCACATACTTTAAATCCGAAGCATAATCTCCTTTAATACCCAACCAATTTATCTGCTTAACTTTCTATTCCTCTTCCCACACTTTCCACCATTCAGTCCAGTTTCTTCTTCCTTCATAACATCTCTCACATGCATCTCCTACAGTTTGTGTTCTATTGTCACGTGTGTATCCATTTTTGCTTGGGTTAATTTAATACAACTTAAGCTGATCTATCTTTGTGGCAGTCTTTTCTGTATTGTTCAGTCAAATGTATCCCCCTTTCCCTCTCCTCAAGCTCAAACATCTTTTTCAGAGATATCTGTTTAGTGCCCACTGCAACAACCTCTCACATGGCAGGCACTTTTTTGTTGAGTAAATATCTCCCTGCTGTTCAAACGCCATTGCTCCAAGGAACCCGACGAGTTGATCCCTACACATCTCTTCAGTTCTGTTTTTCTTACTTCCATAAATTAATCCTTTGTTCCAACCAAATTGTTTGCTCCCAAACAATATGGCTCCATCTCCATTCCATTGAACAAGCTGTATGGCTGAAATGCTCCTTTTCCTTCTCTACGTGTCTAAGACTCCATGAGCCTTTTTGGACTTCATTCCTCAGGGATTGCTCTCACCTCGGAATTCTCTTAGCATACAATGTATGCATATTGTGTGTATTGTATGCAGTTCTTATTTGGCTCTTAGTCTCGATCACCTGGGATTTTATATTATTCCAGTTTCTTTTAAAAATCTTTTGAGAACAGGCAAATGTAATATAATTTTTTTTTTGTGATCCCAAGGACTAAAACATGTAAAAGGTTCATTAGATTTCCAGTTTTCCTATAGATTTTTCTTTTATTCTGTCTAATTAGCACAAGCTAATCAGGCTTTTATAGTCAAGCCTGATCTATAAAAACAATGAAGATGGGGAAAATACCTCAGCTACTAATTCTGAAGCTGTTCTAATCCACCCAGTGTTTTAATGTCTGAAATTTTAGAGGCAACATTGTTCATATTGTCCTCCTTGTAGCCAGAATTACAAAGAAACTAGTTGTTTGTTGTCCTTCTGTAGGGCACGTGTGATTTTTCACTTATTTGTTCTAATATGAACTTTTCTCACCTGAGTCTTCAAAGTCAGCAAAGGCTCACATTTTCCACCATGGAATGAAGCAAGGAATATACTTACAAGCATTATTGGGCAGCCCTCACTGTTTCAAACAATAAAGGAACCATGCTCCAAACTTTATTTAAATAATACAATGTTTTTAGGCAGTTTTGCAGGCCTTACTTTGCCATATCTTCTTACATCACCTGCATGGCTAAATATTGGCATTCTTTGTTATTTTGTGGCAAAGAGAAGAAAAACAAGATTCCATTCCTACTAATCAAGAAGGATACACGATTCAGCATTCATTCAGTATAGACATGCCTTGAGAAGAAATGATCTTTTTGTGAGCAAAACACAACTTTTTAGAAAAGAAATCAACTCTGAAGGTGACTGCAGGGAATTTACAAAGTTTACTTTTGGGCAAATGAGTTCTGGGGCATTAGGTCTATGTTTGTTTTAAAGAGGTTTGTATGTCCTGAGATGGACTGATCAATAATAATAATATGGAAAAACTAGGGTGTTATAAAGCTGAATTTTAAAGTATAGCACATATAATCTGTGAATAAGGATGAATGTGTTTGAAAATAAAGGTAAAGGGAATAATGAAACCTTACTTCTCTGAAAAGTATTAGCAGTTAGATGTATTAGATCTAAATTTATTAGATAAACTTCAAATTCCCTTATAAGATTCCATATTATTTTTACTTACTGTCAGTAGAAATACATTTTTACAGATCTTGCTTTGTCAAATATAATCTTACAGTGGTCTCATATTCCTACACGTGAGTTAATGGTTACTCTCAAATAGTTCTTTCAACCATTTACATGTTTGTGGATCAGTACACATTTAAAAATACTCAGAAGGGAATTTGAAAATTAACTCTTATCAATTCAAAGGGATAGCAAAATTATGTATTGATAAAACGGTCTTGTCGGGAGCAAGATGGAGTCAGTCATGTCACGCAGGGGCCTGTGTCAGGCAGTGATGCAAGCAGTGTAGGGCATTGTAGCTACGAAATTACTCTTAGACCAGCACCAGCTGACAATACCCCAAAACTGATAACAAGCAGAAGCAGAGGAGGTCTGCAGGGGCCCAAGACTGGTTAAATCTCTTTAAAAGGGGAAGATTTTTGTAGCAAACTGTCAGACTCTTCAGACATGACATCTCTATGTATGACCCTTAAAAAAGGCAGCTGCCACCAAAGGCTCTGCCTGACTAATCTCTGAACAGAATCGAGATCCTTCACTGCTTGAACATCATAAACAGTAAGTGCTGAGAGCTGACTCAGACCAGACAGAGGCCTTACTTATCTCAACTGTGCGCCCACAGAGCAGTGTTTGGTTCGTTAACTTCCTACCCCCTGTGTATCTTGTTTGTTGTGTGATTTGTCTTGTGTTATGCTCTGTGTGCCAGGTAAGAAGCCAAGTTAATCATGTGGTGAAATGTCATTGAGTTTGGAATCATGAACCTGCTTTATAATTATGTTAACCTTGCTTTATGACTGAATGAAGCTGCTGTTGTGGAAAGACAGAACTTGTGTGTGCTTCATATCGTGCCCATGACAGGTCTATGAAATGAGTGAAAATGACTGAAAATTTCATTTTTTACAATCTTACTCCTGCCTATTGAATTATTTGCTAAACACTATACTGAGCTGGAAAGAAATGAGACTAGTAGAAAGAAACGTAGATATGCACATATTTTAAACACCTGTTTATTTTCAAATTTTACAGCTGTATGATATGGCCTGATAGCTGAAGATCATACTTGTACCAGAATTGATTACAGGAGTGAAAGGTAGAGCAAAGACTTAGGTAAAAGACAGCTTTTTGGTGAAGGCCCCAGCTCCAACTATTGAAGATTTCCAATGTCTTCGGCAGTAAAAAGGATTGTCTTTCGAGGAAAGTACCTAGAACCAAACCAGAGGTACATGATTGAGAAAAGCTTTCTTGGGAAATTCTCACATACAATAATGGGTCATATTATGGCAACAATACAGTGTATACTTATAGAGCAGAGTAAATTCGGAGCTGATGCCTGCAATGAAGAATTGCAGAATAGGTATCAGTGGAGCAGATTATCTGTTTTAGGGGTCCTTGGACATTGGGAAAGAGAAGAGTGGCCAGGAAACAACAACAACAGTATTGAGCAAGGGACATATTTCATCATATCACTAAAAGGGAAGAGCTGGGCTCTACGTATGGGGAATATAAACTGTACCAAAGAATGACATCTTGGAGTTCAGGGCATCATATCTAGGGCCGAGTTGAGTATTGGAGGCTTATGTCAACATATACTATCTGTCTCTTGGTTCTGTGGCTTTTAAGACTCCTTAGTGAGAGGCACTATTGCTTTAGAAACAAATTATTTTAAGTTGGAAACTCAAGTCATATCTTTCCCTTTCTTTGATGAACATCTGACTATTTCCAAAGAGGTTACATTTGAGAGTTTATGAGGTAAAAGAAAAAGAAAGAGAAAAGCAGCTTTTTACCTAGAAGAGACACATAAGTAAGTTTTTGGAATCAGAAATACAGCCCTAACGTAGGTAATGTCATTATTTCAGTAATCATTTTTCAGCATTTCCTATGTGCCAATTACATGGTAGATATTAGAGCTATAAAGATGGATAGGACATGTTTCTGCCCATTAGAAATTTACATCCTAGTGGAGGATAGAGACAAATAAGCAAAAAATGACAATACATTGTTCCATTTTCTGATGGATTTGTTGGAGGTACTCTAAGAGGGGAGGTATACCTAACCCACATCAGAAACAAGGGGAAAGGGTCAGAAAATACTTCCAAAACAGTGGCTGAGCTAAATTTAACTATCAATATATGTGGTCATGACTTTGTATACAGGGCTATCTGTTGAGTTAAAACTGTTGAGTTGATATAAATAAATATATCAGTGGCATTTAAAGATGAGTTTAAAGTCCAAAGTATTGGACCTTAAGTGCAAACTAGGAAAATTTGATTTGAAAGAAATGGGAGATCAATTAAGTTTTTTAAGCTGGGAGCATCAATATGGCAGAAATGCTTCTAAAGCTTTCAGTCAGTAGGGTGATCTGGTGAAAGGGGATTGGAGGAGGGAGGTAAGCAATGTCAACCACTTACATGTGAAGCAGCAGAGACGAGAATCTAGGATGGTAGTTGTGGGGAAAGCACAAATTGTCAGCATGTGTTTGGATTTTGAATTAATTTCAAAGGTTTTTCTCCTCAAAAATGGGCATTTGGTTGAAATTGGAGGAGAGATGAAAGTCATAGATGAATCAATAAGAGCACCCAACTGATAACTGGTTGGAAGACTGTGAAAGTCTCTGGAGATGTAAATATAGGATTTGAAAAAGACATGGAAACAGATGAAATGGGGAAGGTAAAAGTTGCTTCCCAGATGTCAGTATCAGTGTCCACTTACATGCCCATTTATTCCTTTCACAGGGCTGCTGATGTTGCTTTCAGCATGATGAAAATGTTCTGAAAGAAAATGGGAACAACTATGTTTGTGAAAAGACTTACACCAACTAATGTGAGTGTGGCCAACAGAAATTTGTGAGTTGAAATAAAGTTTAATATACCTAGTAACTGGACTATTGTTTTAATACCAAATGATCGTTTGAAAAACTGTCATGTAGTACTTGGAATGGTCCTAATATGAGAAATAAGCCCACTCAAAATAATTTATCATGATAAATCTCTTGGAGAAATAGAGAAAGAACATACTTAATGAACACTTGTGGTATTCCAGACATGGTGCTAGGTGCTTTATTAGAACAAAATTTTTCTCACATTAGTATGTGTACATATTGCATTTTATCATTTTAGTTGAAAAGTTTGACGGAATGGAATTAGTTCCTCCTAAGAAAGTCATAGCATAAACAATTTTGAAAAGTAGTTTGGATACAAAAAGTAGATGGTTAGGTCCAATTAAATATGTTCAGGTAAGTGTGAATGTCATATTCTTGATTACATATACTTTCTACCTCCATTTATTTATAGCTATATTTGTTGGCACCAATGCTTTTGGGTCAGTCCCTATGAGGATGGCGAATTCTGATCTCCCTGTTGGTAGAAGTTACTTTCTGACAGGGCCATTTTCCTTTGGGATGGATTGCATCAAATTCATCACTGCCACTAGAAAATTAACAAAGCAGATATCTTACAGATCTCAATTTGAAATAAACATCTCCAAAAAAACAAAACAAAACAAAACAAAACAAAATTTCCATATATGAAGGGTAGCATGCAATTTCACAAATAAAAATGAAAACCAATATTTTCTTTCTTTAAACATTCTAATTTATCTGAGTTATCTTTATGAGGTAAAAAAAAGCAAACTGAGTAAAAGCTTCCTTAGAACAAAATAAATTACCCTTTGATATCCAGTGTAGCAACCTCCTATTTGAGAAAAACAGAACTTCACAAAAGCTTAATATATTCAGGATTTGACAAAGTGTGACCCATTTACTGAAGCAGAAAATGCACCACAGGTTTTTCAGGGTTTCTTTTTTTTTCTTTCAAAAGCAGATAAATCATATTTATCAGTGAAATAAAAGAACTGCTTCTAGACTTATTTAGGAGAAAATTGGGAAAGAAAGGGGGGAGAAACAAGAATTTTGACTCAAGAAGATAATCCTCAAATAAAATGTGGTAGGTTTTAAAGATTTCATAGGAATGTCAGAATGGGGAGATATTTAATGAATTTATGTAAAAAGAAACTGGTAGTTACCATAGATTTCTTCAAGCCCTCTAGATACCATGAGGATATTGAACAATTTATAGAAGACACATACCATTTTTCATAGGATATTTCTGAGATTTTTGTCAGGATTTTATTTTATTTTATGTATGTATTTTTAAGATTTTATTTATTTATTCAAGAGAGACATAGAGAGGCAGAGACATAGGCAGAGGGAGAAGCAGGCTCCCTGCAGGGAGCCTGATGTGGGACTCATTCCTGGAACTTCAGGATCATGCCCTGAGCCAAAGGCAGATACTTAACTGCTGAGCCACCCAGGCGTCCCTTTGTCAGGATTTTAAATATACTGGAAAAAAGATACAAAACCCTTACTCTGACTTATGTATTCTCCTAAATGCTCATTTCATGATAGCACTTTTTACATTTTTCTGCATGTATCAGTTTAATGAATTGTCTTTCCTCTGCATGCACCACTTTAATTGTCAATTCCTTGAAAATGCGGAGCTCTGTCTTATATACCCTCACATACACGGTGCCTTGTACTGCATTTAACACAAAACAGCTGTATCAACAAATGTTTGTTGATTGTAGGACTAAGGAAATAAAAATGGGAGTCCATGGACATTTCTTCATAAAAAAGTATATATTAACATATAGATTGGGATACTTTTATATTAATCAAGCACTTAAAATAGACAAATATGACCACTGATTATATTTAAATACATTATCCTTCCAAAAAGGATCTTTTATCTTACATAAAAGAAAACTCATTTCATTTATATCACCTAACAATTTTATAAAATACTGAAAAAGCATGTAATTGTAATTAATATTACTTTAACAATTCTAAGTGGTGAATGTTATGTTGATAAGCTAGGAGAGTGACTGAGAGATTTTACTTCTCAGCCTTATTTTTAGATTTCTTGGATCATTTAGATTTATTTTTTTAGATTTATATTTTAAGCCAAAGTCAGAAATGGAGCTACAAGTGAGGTTTCTAACAATTTGTTTAAATTTTAAATTATACAGAAGGATTAGAAAAGTCTTTTTTTAAAAAAAGTCTTTCAAATGCACTTCATTTATTCATTAACAGTTACTCCCAGTGTCCTAATGGAACAGATCAGATGTGGCTAGTATGGGTTGAGTCCATGGTGCTGCAGATGAAATTAAGAAAAAACAAAACAAAACAAAACAAAACAAAAACTAACCAACCAAACAAAAAAACATGGGAAAACACTTTTAGGACCCTTGAAAACCATTTCCAGTCTAAAGCTACAGAGCAGAAATGATCAATAATGGTGGCCATTTAGCTCATTCATTTCTTTTAATGAACATGCTCACAACTCACTAAAAGCATTCTTATAGGACTGGGATGGATTTAAATTCTCTGGTGACTGACAGAAATACAGCCTTTGATAAAACCTGGAGGGAGTAATACTGCTCCCCACCAACCTTCCTCCCCTTCATCTTTACTACTTAGTGCTGTTTCACTCAGAAAAATATGTCATCTTGGTACAGAATGACAAGCAGTTGATCGGCAACTATTAGCCGAATTCTTCCCATGATTCTTAATGCAGTTTATTTTAGGAAAGAATCCCAAAACTGTGAATGCATTTCAAATATGTAAAGTCTAGTAAATGTAGGAATAAAGGCCTCAAGAAAAAATGGGCACTGAGCTGGTTTAATCATTTTATTAATATTCAGTAGGATCGTTTCCATTTCTGTAGTCACTGCCCTAGTTCAAGTAAGCATTAATTTGTATCTAATAAAGTGCCATTAATCTGAGAATCCTTATAAATTGCTTTTGATAAATGAACAACATCTGGATTATTGCATCAGTCTCTTGTCTCAACTATTCAAGTTTCTTTCAATTATTACCTATTTTATATCTAACTGTCGGGAAGAAAAAAAGCCCTCTTGAATTTCCACCAGTATTTAATTCTCTGCTTATGAAACTCGAGTTTGCTTATTCAAAATTCTTGTGCCTGAGATTAATTTTTTTCCTACTGACTTCCCAAGAACCTCATTTCTTCCTATTCAGTTATTCTCTTATGACTTCACTGCATCCACATTTTTCAAAAAAGTACATTTTAATTTTCTGGTGTCATAATATTAAATGTCTAAGTTTAAGAATTTCTAGAAAAAAAATACTAGCCTGTTGGCAAACAAAGACTGGAAAGTCCCTGTGATTTCAGATGCCCCTTTCTTGGATCTAAGTCAGAGTTGAGTTGGGTAAAGGTGGAAGCAGCTGTGGTGGGGGAAGGGGAAGTAAGGATTTACTGGGCCTCTTTGTTGTTTGTTTCCTTTTCTCCCTATTTGTAATATTATATTGTCTGTACATGAGAGGTTTTGATACTCAAAGGATAGTAAATCTTTTCAGAGCAAATGAACAGTATAGTTACTAATCAAGAGTAAGTTTACTAAGTACATATTTTGACCCTTTTGGTGGGATTTTTTTGAAGTTCAAGTACTACAGACACATAGCACATGGAATTGAATTGTGTCCTGTCTTCATAATTCCTGTCTTCATATTTCATGTTTGCAATGGGGACATGAAGATAAACTTAGATCAAAATCCTCTAAAGGCATGAGAGAAATGAGGAGACTTTCAACAATCTGGTTGTATGGTGTGAACCTTAATGTGGATAAATATTAATTTTAGCAGACAAATTTCTGTGCCAGGACTTGGGGTTTTAATTGAATACTTTTTATCAGCAAGATTAGTTAAATGCCTGGATTCATAGTTTCTATGTCATTAAGCAGTTATTTTTTAGAATAATATTATCTTTGTCTTTATAACTCTGCAACATCAGTTACAACTTTCCACTTCATGGAATCTCAGAGAATCTGGGCATATCTGCCAATCATCTCTGTTATTATGAAGTGTCAACTCTATTATGAGAAAAAAATTTCAACAACAATTTATGACCTCAAATATAGAAGCAAGCTATTAAATTTACTTCTTAACTTCTGTGTTTCCTTCTCTCATCCCATGTTGGGAAATACACCTCCCACAAATACATTCTCCAGTTTCTGCCAAATTGTGTATTTAACACACCAAACACACCAAACTGAGTCCCACACCTAAAATGGGCTTTCTCATTTGCCCAAGTCATTCTGCCTTGAACTGCCATTTTAACATTTCCAAACAATGCTTTATTCATTTCACTTATGTTTTCCAATGGCATCCCTACAAAATGAAAAACAATCTCTTTATTTTATACAGTCAAGGACCTTCATGATAGGATTACTTTTCACTTGCTCAATTTTTCTCTCTTAACCACCTCCTGAACGCTTAGTGCTCCATGTGACTTGGGAACATAATTTATGCTTATCCACTTGGCTTCCCATCTCCAGTTGGCTACTTTCTTACCATCTTCTCCACTCCTGAAATGCTCTTCTCTTCTCAGCCTACTTCAACCACTCACTCTCCCCTCTAGGGACTTTCCTTGATTTCCCCAACCACAAATTCTCTTCATTCACAAAATGCACATAGCACTTTCCATCTAATACAGTGGTTTAAAACTACAGGTGATTTTTCCCTCAGTCTTTAGATATGGGCAATATCTGGAGATACTTTTAGTTGTCCCTAGTGGGAAGGTGCTATTGGTGTCTCCTGGGTAGATGCCAGAAGTCAGGGATGCTGCTAAACATCCCACTATATACAGGACAGTCCCTACCACTAAGAATGAGCTGATCCAAAATGTCAATAGTGCTGCTGTCGCAAACTGTAATTTAATCCAATTTGACAACTCTATTTCAATCCTGCCTTTACTATGTTTAGTCATCTGTATTAGGATATAAGCCTCTAGAAGAACAGGACCACACCTGATGCAGAATTTTATTGCCTCAAAAGTCTAGCGCAAAATCTGGTATATGTGAGCACTCAAAAATATTTAAATCTATGGGTATGGATACCTGGAATAAGCATGCAAGAAGAAAATACTTACCAATCAAGCTACATTAAGTCCGATAGATACTTTCTTTGAAGTCTTTGAAAATTCAGCTATCATTTGAGGATCTCTTAATGATGAAAATCAATTGGCATTATGCTAGCAAAGAGAACATTTGGGTCAGCATATATTTTTGTGATAAGCAAAACCAAAGAGACATATTACAACTTTACTGTATTTTCATAGAAGATGAAAAATGCAGAGTCTGAGGTATTCAGCGTTAGGTTATCTATCCTTAATAATTATCTTCTATTTCTCCTATGGCAGATTTGTTGAGTTGTTGTTATTATTGTTGTATACTATGCCACAAACAATTAATCCTTCCACAAAGTTTTCTCAGTTGCTGAGTAGTATGTGTTGGTTAAATCAGCTCCAATTTGTTTGTATTCCTTTAAGTGGAGCATCTAGCTGTTGGGCAAAATAAAACATTAAATTATCTTGCCAACTTGCTATAAATATTTGAAAATGCTATTAGAATACACACACAGTTTTTTTAAAGCTTGCTTATGAAATGAACTGATGCATTTTGCTTACTAATATAATATCTATGTTTACATCATGTCCAACAGTCTCCGGTATATGGAAAACTGAATGGAGTGGATGGTTCCCTGCTCTAGAGGACATATTCAAACAATTTGCCTGCCATTCAAGATCTTCCCAAATTTGCCCTCTACTTACCTGTGTCTCTTTCACAAATGTCCTGCTTTAACTGAATCATTTCCTTTATTATCTCTTGAATGTATCTCTTACTTCCTTCACCTCTAAAGTTTGTTCTTTTCTTTTTCCTCAAGTTTTTCAATCATAGGGTTTAGTTTCTATTTTTAGTTCTCTTATGCCTCTTGAATTGCTTGCCATTCTAAACCATCCTGTCACATGTCAGCTTACCTAACAAGAGTCCCTTTATCTTTTAAATCATGCCTCTGCCTGATTTAAACATAGCATCTTATACAACTTAATTAATAACTTCTACTGACATTTTGTTGTCATTATATTTGTGCATTATTATTTTTATTTTTCTTTCAGATTGTAAAGTCCTAGCAGTAGGGACCTTGATTTACAAACATGTTTGAATCATTCTCTGCACCAGTATACTGTCCTGTACATAGTCATTGTTCATTATACAGTAATTGAACAGATGTTGAATGAATTAAAGTTTTTCTTTAGAAGTAGAAAGTAGTGTGGCAACCTGGCTATAAAATATAAAATGAAATTTGTTTTTCCAACAAATAAATATCAAGAATAAATGAAGGGAGGACTGGTATGGACATAATAATCAAAAGTGATGTGTGAATCTTGTTTGAATTTTGTTTTGAACAAATAACTTATAAAGGAACATCTTTGTCATAATTGGAGAAATGTGTATATAGAATGGGTAATGGATGATATTAAGTATCAGAAGTGCATTCATTGTGTTAGAAAGTTTTTAAAAGTTAGAAATGCATACTGAATTATTTACAAACAACATGTTTGATATTTTATTTAAAATATTCCAATAAAAAGTACTAGGGATAATAAAAAAAAACGTGGCAACAATTGTCAAGGTACTGATGATTATTGAGGCAGAGTGAAGGCTACATAGTGTTCATTAAACTATATCACTCTAGTTCAGTGTAAGTTTAAATATTTCTACTGAAAGTTCATATAGATTTATAAAGTGCTGTAGGAGAATCACCTTTTAGTCAATCTTATGGTAGGAGAGTAATCTCTCAGTCGTTTTACATATTTACTCTAGGGGACTCCAGTGACTTGTATAAAATATCATTATACGATGTTTAACCCAACACTCGGGAACCAATTCAACATGTGAAAACATTGCATTAGTTGCACAACGTCCTGCTCCTTTGCATGCTACAGAAAACTACTGGGTGCGTAGTGAGTCAGTCTTGCTCTTTACTTTTCTCTAAGGATCCCTTTTCTATTATTCATAACTGTCTGTCTTGAAGGAGGTTAATGTTAACTTAATAGCCAGCCACTAACCCCAAATGACTTACTCTCTTGTCCCGAGAATGACCACCAGCCCTGTAAGAAGCAAAGAATAATTTTTTATCTTTGCTTGTTGAACTGGATCCACTCATCTTTAATGTCATGGAAGAGAAATGTTATAAGGAAAACTTTTCTTTAATAGACACATCAGGGATCAGGTAAGTTGATACAGAGGCTGTGGACATTACCAAGTGGTAAATGCTAAAGAAAGATGGCAAAGACAGAATACAGATGAATTTGTAATTTGAATACTAGACTTAGTTTTGTCAAGTCTTTCTCTCATACTCATTCTTGTCTTCTCATCTTTGTCGCCACTTTCCCAGACAAGCTCCTATTTACATCTCCTTCAGGTGATGGTCCAAAGCCACTAACCTTGGTTGTCTCCAAAAGCATGCCCCAAATCACCCCCAAAAGCATAAAATCTAAGTTATAGTCTTGGGCTTGGTAAAGAAACACAACTTTCAAAGAAGTCCTTTACCCTCCCTGCTTTCAATCACCCTCATGCCCTTCTTTCTATTGACAGCAGTGCACTTCCATTCCCCTGTGGGTTACTTCAACATTTTTCCTAGTTGTCTTTTTGCTTACTTTTTTACTCTTCAACACACACTCTCAGACGCTTCCAGATTAGGCTTCTTAAAATATGGCACTTACCATACCAATCCCATGTTCAAAAGCTTGCAGTGGCTTACCATTGCCTATTATGTAAAAATCCATTTTTGTTCATTCAGAATTCCAGGCCTCACAAATCTGCCTGGAGTTTACATTCTAAGTGTGACTTTTTTTTAAGCATTTGAAACTATGAATCCACAGAACTAATTGTACTTCTCTGAAAATACTCTGCACTTTTGGGTCTCCATTCTTTGCCTTATGAATGTTCTAATTACTTAAAGCCTCTCTTTCCATAGATTTCTACTTGAGACCATCCAATTTTTCCTTTGTCATCCTGTAGCACTAAAGTCTTTCCTGTCCCTGTCAGAATCCGCATCTTTCCCCCCAAGGTTCTACAGCTCTTCATGTGTATCTTTCATGCACTATTTCCCCTCACTGGTATTATAATCTGGTATGAGCTTCATTTCTCCAGTCATAAACCTTTGCCAATACGACTTACTCATTTCACCTTTGTATCCCTAGTCTCTGGCATAATGGTCTGTGCTTAGGATATGTTTAGTAAATAGTGGTTAAAGGGCTGGTCAAAGGAATACTAAAAATTCTATGCAAAGATAGAGATCAAAATAAAATAGGGTTTTCCAATTGTTTAAACATTATGGTGCTTAAATTCTAATTATCAAATAAATTATCACCGTTTATTTGAGGCTATCCCAGGCATTAGGCTAAGTGAAGCTTTGCATTGTCACATTTAATCCTTTCAGTTTAATAGCTCTTTAAATGAGAAAATTGAGACTTGGAGAGATCAGGTAACTTATCTGTACATGTCTATCTGATTCAAAACCAGGTCTGCTTACAGTGAAACCTAGTCACATTTCTATATTATAATGTCTGGAAAACCCTAGGGTTTAGCAGATATAACTCAAAGGACACCTCAAGAGATTAAAAAAAAGACTCAAACTGAAAATAATTCCCTTTATACATCCTTTACCTCGATAATAGAAGCTTTTGTTTTGTTTTATTTGCAGTGAATTTTTAAAAAAGATTTTATTTATTTATTCATGAGAGACACAGGCAGAGGGAGAGCCTAATGTGGGACTTGATCCCAAGACGCCAGGATCATGCTCTGAGCCAAAGGCAGACACTCAACCGCTGAGCCACCCAGGGATCCCAATGTTTTTGTTTATTTTTATCTGCAAGGTGGGACACTCACTTTCTTATTTTCATCATTCCTTTAATACCTATTGCCTTATATACCCAAGGATTTCATATATTTAATTTGTTTGAAGGCACTTAAATATATAACCCCTTACATAATGTAAAAAGTTGCATTTGCTTCCCCAAAGCAGGCATGTTATCAGCCTATGTGTCTACTTAAACAATACTATCATATTCTAACATATATGTTCTAATCTACTTTTGTAATTGTTCTCAGAACCAATTTATAAGTTTTACAAGAAAATCAATTTCATTACTTGATAGTCTCAATTTCAATTTGCTCCAAATAGTTTTGATTATTTCCAGAAATTCTTCAATTCTGAAAGGATGAGACCAGTGTGCACATACTTAAGATGTAGGGTTTTTTTTAAAGATTTTTTAAGTTTATTCATTTGAGAGAGACAGAAGGAGAACATGAGTGGGGGTGGGGGTGGTGAGGGGCAGAGGGAGAGGGAGAAGCAGACTCCTGCTGAGCAGGGAGCCTGACTCAGGGCTCAATCCCAGGACCCTGGGAGGGATCATGATCTGAGCCAAAGGCAGATGCTTGACCGACTGAGCCACCCAGCACCCCTTAAGATGTAGTTCTTTAAAGCCAACTCCCAAAAGGAATTTTAAAATTTAATTGGATGATATGTGGCTCCCCATGATGGCCACTTAAAAGAGAGCTCATCTGAATGTGTAAATTCTGGTGTGTGTGTGTGTTCTGATCTGTATATATTTAGACACACACACACATACATATACTTCACATTTCCAACTCATTTGATAATGGATCACCCTTATTTTCTTTATATAACTTCTGATAACACCCCAATTTCCCATGTAAATAGAACTGTGTTATTTAGGCTAATGATTATGATGATGGCAGCATCTCTCATAGTTCTTTTAATAAACATACATTTTTGTGTGTGTGTGCTTTGAACAGTTTCTTGTATTTTCATTCAGGTTAACATCTACAAATTGCATGGTTATGGAAAGTTATTTAAAATCTCTGAGCCTCAATTTCCGTATTTGTAAAACAGAGGTAGCATTACACCTATTCATAAAGTTGCTGACAGGATTCACTGAGTCAGTCCCTGCAAAGTGGCTGGAACCATGTTCAGTTGCTGAATACTGGCAAGATCTTGTCAATTCCCTAGGCCCACAAGACAGCACTGATATTTCTAATAGTGGCGATCTTTCCTTTTGGTAGTTTCCAGTTATAGGAATGTTATATAAATAAGCACACAGTGCTATAAATAGAGATACGTTTTTCTAAAATGAGCACTAAATAAACTCAGAACACCATGTGTATTACAATAGTCTGTGTTTAGGGGTACCAGGTGCATCAGTTCGTTGAGGTTCCTACTCTTGTTTTCAGTTCAGGTCATGATATCAGGGTCTTGATCATGGGATGGCCCTATGTGGGGCTTCACACTCAGAGGGTAGAGAAGTCTACTTGAGACTCTTTCCCTCCCTCTCCCTCTGCTTGCACATACACACACTCTCTCTCCCTCTCTCAAATAAATAAACCTTAAAAAAAAACTGGTGGCAAAATTAACTTTAAAAAAAAAACAAACAAACTGGGGCACCTGGTGGCTCAGTGCATTAAGCATCTGCCTTTGGCTGGGGTCATGATCCCAGGGTCTTGCGATCCAGCCATGTTGGGCTCCCTGCTCAGCAG